ATCACACAAGAGAGAAATCCCAGAGGAAAATGCTCAAGAGAATAGGCAGTTCTGGCTTCTCCAGACAAGGAATTTGCTCTTCATTTATTTTCAGGGTGCTTTGACGCAGACCTGTGATAGTGACACTTGTAACTGTCATTCATGGAGGACTTGCTATGTGCCAGATTCTATATTAAGCACTCTAAAGGCCTCATCTCTTTTCATCCTCATGATGACCTGATGGAGTAGGTATTGTTTTACCCATTTTATAACATGAGGAAATCATGGCTCCGAGAAATCACTTGCCTGAGATGAACATGGTGGTATTCAAACTTGAACCCAGACTTGTCTGACCTCAGAGCCTATACAGTCTACCCCCAGGGTGAAATGGAAGAACGTACTGCCTCCTGCCACCAGCCACAGGGAGAGCATGCCGTGGAGGCCCAGAAAGATGACATGGAGCCCCACAGTGGCCCAAGAGGGCCCCACTTATGGGTTGCTGAGAAATAGAGGCCTTAACCCTGCCAGGCCTTCAAGCCACAGGGAGGCTCATCTCTGCAGTCCTGTGAGGATTCAGGCTGCTCCCTGGCCTGAAGCCTGGTGATGGAGTTTGGGCTGTCCTGAGACCAGCGGGCAGCAGCAGAAGCCCTGGACGTTTCTGAGTAGGAACAGCCCACCCTGAGCCCTCATGGCTCCACATTTGGTTTCTGGTTTTTAGTTCTGCCTCTGCCATGGGGTAGCTGTGTGTCCTTGGGCCTTGGTTTCTTCACCTATAAAACGAGGAGGTTTAACTAGACTGTGGTTCAGTTTGTTTCGTGAACCACAAATACATCTATTAAGAACGTCCAGGAGAAACCTTGATGGGTGAAAGTTGAGGAAGAGCTCAAGATGGCCTGGGGAGGGTCCCCTCTCAGACTTTCTTCTCCCCAAACTCACTGCCCTGGGACACCTCCCTCACCTGTCATGACCCTCAGACACATGTGGAAGCCAAAAGTCCCTCCTGGGCTGTGACATGACACAGCTCTGCCTTTGTAGTTCCAGACTGGGGCCTGCCTCCCCTGGGGTCTGCATGTCCAGAGCCTCCGCTGCCCCTTTCTGATTCTCTGGCCTCTGGGGCAGGTCCTGGGTCACCCCACCAGGAGCACTCGTGGTCTCTTCTCACTGGCTTCACAGGGGATCACACCACCCACCCTGACCACCGTCACACCTAGCTTCCAACATGCTTTCCAGTACCCTGCCTGGGACTGCTGACACTGTTTTCTATCAGTCCTGGACCAAGCTCCCTGGCTCCCTGGAGCCCATGGCTTTGGACCCGGAGGCCTCCTCTGGAAGTAGGTCCTGAGCAGTCGACTCCTCCCCCCTCTTCCCACCCTGAGAGTTTCACCTTCACGCGGCACCCAGCTCTTCATTGGCTTTCCTGAACAATTTCCTTTTGTGGTCTTTTTTCTTTTCTCCCCTTCCTTCCTTTCTCTCCCCACCTTTTTGCTTTTTTTTTTTTCTTTTGGAAAAAGAGAGTCCAAGACAAGGGGCAAATGGGTTGATTTTACTATCAGGCTAGAACTGAATACAGTCAGCCCTCCATTTCTGCAGGTTCTACATCTGCAGATTCAACCAACCATGATTAAAAAAAAAAAAAAGTTGTGTCTGTCCTAAACATGTACAGACATTTTTCCTTATTGTTATGCCCTAATCAACACAGAATCCCAACTATTTACATAGCATTTACATTGCATGAGGCACAAGAACTCATCTAGAGATAATTTAAATTATTCAGGAGGCTGTGCATAGAGTATATGTGAATGTTATGTTGTTTCATACAGGAGACTCGAGCATCTGCAGATTTCAGTGTCTGTGGGGGGTCCTGGAATCAATTCCCCAGACTGTCAAGGGACAACTACATATTCAAAGTCAGGCCACACAAACTCTTACACGTTTGGTGGGACACAGAGCAAGTCCTGTCCTAGGGCACAGAGGGGATGGGTACATCTGCCCTTGAGGGTCCCAACCAGTCCTTCTGCCAACCCTGTGTGTGTCTGTCAGTTCAGAGTCTGCCCTGTGATGCAGGCAGCTCCTAGGAGCAAGGACTAGATCTAGGGTTTGCTTTGTGCATGCCTGCCTAGGGACTTCACTGGAGGGGGAAATGTCACTTTACTTCAGGCTTTGGATCAGAAAATATTTCACTGGAATTGCTTTAGGGGGAAAAGTGCATCACAGATTCATGCTGTTTGTTATTTGGGGAAAATATTTTGGTAGAGTTTATTATTTAGCTAGAAAAAAAAAAGTTGTTGTATGATCTGGGTTTGGTTCAGATTTTACCAAATTCAGACAGATTATTTATAGTTTTGTTGACTTCAGTTTGATTCCCAGGTCCTAAAATGCACTTACACATATATAAACATTTAATGTCTATGATCAGCTGACAACAGTAGAGGGGAAATGTCAAAATGTCACAAGCTACTCCAATAAAAGGAATTACATTGACTTCCTTTTTGAGTTCTCTCGCCTCCTCCTAACCCTCATGTAGTGGGGATTTCTTTGGCTGTAGATGCCTGGAAGAAGGATTGGTGGTGGCTTGGTCACCATTCCCCACAGTTAGACCAGTCTTTTTGATACTAGAACCACCCTACATTATTATCTCTAACAAATGAGGAAACTGAGGCCTAGAGAGACCAGGCTCTCTTTGTGCTGTCACAGCTAGTTTGCGGTGAGTTTGGAATAAGTCCTGTGTTTTCTTTCCCTGAGGTTATGCCCACAGTTCCATGGCTGCTTCCTCTGCCCCCCACCCCAAGCTCAGGAAATTTGGGGAAGAAATGAGAGAGCCAAGTGGAGTGGACCCTGGAGGAGGACGGGGGTGAAGTCGGGGGGCAGGTACTGGGATTCTGAGGGGGACAGGCCTTGCCGTGTGTGGTGCTCACATGGGGTGTACAGTCTTGTCTGAAGCTCTGCGTGGAAAAGGTCTCTGACAATGGTCCCGTCATCTTCATCCTTGGCCAGCCAGCGGCCACAGGGAAACGTCATGCACTTTCCAAGAGATGGGGCGTCCACTTCTACCCAGTCTACAAACCAGCCTGGGGCCTTGCCTGGAGAGAGAGGAGACCCAGAAACCATCAGGGACTTGTGCAGAGATGGTTTCCTGTGGGTTCCTGCAGGGACTCCAAACATCCTCCCTGACTGGCTGGCGGACACCCAGAGCTCCGCCATTCCTGCGTCATTCCCTCTGCTGACAGCACTGCTGAGATGATTCCTGTTAATATGTGCATGCTGCTGGGGCTGGATCACACCCCGGGCTGCTGCCAGCAAAATTAGCAACAGTGAAGGAGCACAGGGAGGTAACAGGAGGTCAGAGACATTCTGAGGGGACGAAAGTGGATGCAGTCCAGGGTGGAAGGAGCTCCAAACAGGGAACCCAGGGATGCTGCAGGGAGCCTGAGCCTACAGAGGCGATCATGCCACTCAATGGCAGGATGACACTCATAGCTTCCTGGCTCAGTTTGTGATGCAGGAGGAGGAGGGAAATGAGTGGAGGAATGATGCTCCTCCCGGAGTGCTCCAGCTTCAAGAAAGCAATGGAAACACAGCAGAGAGCCCTGTTCCTGCAGTCTTGACAGTCATGGGTTCTAGGACCAGGATCCCTTCCTTAAGCTTAGAAGGGTGGTTTGGGCACTAAGAAAAAGGATCCACCCAGCGACTTGGGAGGCGGAGGCAGGAGGATTGCGAGTACAGAGCCAGTCTCAGCAATTTAGTGAGGCAGTAAGTAAACTGAGTAAACTCAGTGAGACCCTGTCTCTAAATAAAATACAAAATAGGGCTGGGGATGTGGCTCAGTGGTCGAGTGCCCCTGAGTTCAATCCCTGGTACCTAAAAACAAAATTTTTTTTAAAAAAAGAATCCAACTTTACTCAGAGAGAGCAAACACAGGTACATCCTCTGCCTATCTGCAGTGCCTGTGGGTTCCACGAAGGGCTGGCTAGATCAGTGGTTCTAAAGTGGGGACCCCAGGCCAGCAGGCTCTACAACACCCAAGGACTTGGGAGATGTGCATATTCTCAGGCACCTTCCCAGACCTGTTGAATCTAGTCTGGTGGGAGAGAACCCTGTGCTTTAAAACCCCTGCCTACCCCACGTGTTTCTGATGCACACTCAAATCAGAGAGCCAGAGTTAGGTCAGGGAGTTTCGAATCTAGCCTCATATTAACTTTACTGAGGTTGGGGAATTGGTAAAGGCTTTAAAAATTTCCAGTTTCCAGGTCCCAACCCAAACCAATTAGACCAGAATCGGTGTACAGCAAGGGCTCCAATGGACTAGAGGGTTGGAGAAGCTGTGTTATTATGGAAGGAAGATGGTGTCCAAACCTCCAAGTTCAGATGCCCACAGGGGTCTGAACATGGTGCTCATGGAGAGAACAGGGGAGGGAGGCCAAACCTGTGTTGTCATGGCCGATCCTGACTTTCCACAGGTCTCCCAGATCCAGCGTCTCTACTGTGAAGATTTCAATGCTGTCTCTCTCAAACTTGTCACTGTTGGTCTTGGAGGATTTCAGGAGGGTTGTTCCTGCCAACCAAATGACCTCAACATGAATGGTTGACCCTGAGATCTATCCAATCATGTTAGCCATCAACCCATTTTGTCTCTCTCCATAATGACCAAACTTCTCAACTCTAAAGCTGAATTTAGACTATGCAGTTATCACCCACCAGGCACTTTGGCACATTTGGGGTGTGTGTGTGTGTGTGTGTGTGTGTGTGTGTGTGTGTGTTCTTTTATTGAGCTTTGCTGTAACCCTTTCAAGTATACATTTTTTTTCTAGTTTATACCCAAAGAAAGGCCTTCTCCAAGGAGAAGGTGGTGGGGTTCTATGTCAACATCTACATTCTTTCCTAACTCTTCATGATTCTCCACGTGAGGAAGGAACTACCAGTAAAACCACCCTTCCCATGCTCACTGAGAAAACAGGGGACCCTTATGCAGATGGGACAAAGGGAATTCTCTGGAGACTCTCATCTGGAAGGCTGGAGAGATGGCATCAAATACCTCCCACCTGCCATCTCTCATGTGGAATCTGGGGACTCCGACTGTGGGTCAGCCTGAAATTTGAGCTGGTCTCAGAATCACCTCCATCCCCTCCTGCCTCAGCTTGCCTTGAAGTCTCCCCTGCCCCTGCCCTCAGTCCTACTGTGGTCCCACCTCACATAGAAAGTCTCTGGCATTCATAGCCTCATTGCAGACTGGCATAAGCGCATAGAGAGACAGACCTTGGTCCAAATGCCTGGCTCTGCCTCTTGCCATCTGGACTATCTTGGACAAATTGCTCAATGTCTCTGACTTTGACTTGGTTCCTCAAATGTCAAAAAGAGATGTTCTTGTTCCCTTCCCTGTAGGGTTGTTGTAAGAACATAATAAAGATGATGGCGGTCAAGGGCGCAAGAGTGCGTCTAGGCAAGTAAGAGCAGATGTTGGAGCCATGGATTCCTTTGACCATGGTTCAGGAGCCAGCACAACCACATACAGTAGAAGTTATAAATTAATTAGTTCATTATTCATTATTTGCTTTATCTAACCCGTTAAATAATAATAATGATTAGTGTTTATTGAATAACACTTTGACCCAAATATTTCACATAATTAATTCCATGAAATTCACAATTCTGTGAGGCACATAAAGTTTTTATCTTTATTTTACAAGTGGGGAAAACTAAGTCACAGAGAGGCTAAGCAGCTTGTCTGAGGTCATACAACTCATGAATGGTGGTGTGGAAATTTGAACCAATCAGTTAAGTTCCCTGGGCTGAGGTCTCCATTAGCTCACTGTCATGTTAGAATATAAGCACCCATGGCTCAGGATAAGCCTTCATTCTTCAAGAACAGTTGGCATGCAGTTCTGAACTCACAAGCTCTGAGCTAATGCATGATGACAACTTGAGGGCTGATTCTCAAAACTCAGACACAATGACTGGATGGGGGCATCGAGAAGATCCTAGCCCAGCACGAAATGCCCCCTTCTCTGGGTTGCTATGCAAAGGCTTCAGAGTAACTCCAGGACACCCTTGGGCATCTCGTACTAAAGAAGAATGGCGTCCACTGGCTGGAGCTCATAGGAGGTTGGGAGGACCCACTTTTCCCAGGTGTTACTGGGGTGCATTTTGGGCAAGGGAACATCTCTGCCATTAGAACAGAAGAGAAAGCTGACCCAGAGGAGAGATTTTAGGAAAAAAGGAACTTTCTTTCTTGTATGGGGCTGGGTTCGGCAATCAGAATTTCCCTGGACACTTCTGAGTCCCAGAGAGGGACAGACGTGGGTAAGCCTTGGTCCCCATCGCTTTCTTACCCGTGTCATCTTGTGTGCCAAAGAGCGTGATGAAGACGTTGGCATCGGTACCTGCGTTCTTCTTGTCCCCTGTCTTTACGGTCACTGAGAACGTGGTTGATTTATCTGCCAGGAGAAGAATGTAGAGAAGTGAGCTGCAGACTGCTCAAGTCTCCTGGAGGGAGGGGAGAGGACCGCCACCTCCAGGAGGGCTTCCTTGCTCCCCACCTCTGGCCCCATCAGGCCAGCTCTTCCCCTACTCTCTCAATCCTACACTCCTGGACCCCAGGATTAGAAATAAGCACATTTCCATGATCACTTTACTTGCAGTATGTGTTTTTCTGAAGTTGCCTGAGGGTGGAGATGATGTCCCCTGACCCTGGCTCACACAGGAAGCCCTCAATCAATAGAGTCAATAGGACAGAGGAGATGAAGTGGGGGTGGGGATGGTGATTGGGAGAATCCAGGGGACCAGCCAGGAGTCCTGTGCTGACTGCCATCTGGGATATAGGTTTCAGGGAAGAGCACAAGCATCAGGGGACTCTTGAGGGCCAGTGCTCATTGCTTCCCTGGACACAAATGCACTGGGAGCCTCTCATGTGCCTGGAGGGAAGGACAAAAGATGAATCAGATCTGGCTACGACCCTTCCATCCCGACAGTAACCCCGCGTACTTTACAAACTGTACTTTATAGTGAGCGTTTTGCTGGGCACATGGGAACGTGCTTCCCACCCTGACCTCTCCTTCCTTGCTGTGGAGGAAAGAGAGGGTGATGCATCTGGATTGTACCCAGAGCCCTTGGGGAGGGAGGAAAGATGGAGATCAAAAGTGGAGGAGAGGAGGGGGCAGGGATTCTGGAGGGAGAAAAATCAGCTCTAGTTTAGAAAACCTTTTTGCTCCAGAGCCAGGTTGTCAAGGGGGTTACTGTCACCATGTCCCCCACCCTCCTCATCCTCGCTGGGCAGCACATAGGACTCGTCCACTGGCAACAGCTCCCTGGACAGCTGGCCATCATCCTCCTCCACTGCCAGCCAGCGTTGGCACGGGAAGTAGTACCTGTAGGGATGGGGAGGGAAGGTTGGGAATGTCCTCTTAGGAAGGTTTCCTGCAGGAGCAGGTATGGGCTGAGAGTGAGGGACACACAGTCTCCTCAATCCACCCTTCACGGCTTTGCCCTTCCAGCACATCCAACCTGAGAGGGACCCCATGGGTCACCTGTCTGGGGAATGGTCTCCAGACATCCCATTGAAGTTGGGTCATATTGGATGGAAGGAGAGGGCCTGTGGGAACTGATCCAACAACACTTTCTGGAACTAATCTATTAGCCAGAGCCACATTAGCAGAGCGTTTCATGGAAAGTGCTCCATACACATGTGTTGAGTTAATAGATTTCGATGGAATGAACCAATTGTGCTTTGGGGAAAGTACAAAGGTTGAGGCTAAGGAGTAAACCCAGGGATATCTGGGGAAGGGAGGTCCTAGTCAGACTCCTCCATGGAGAGGAAGGGCCTAGCATGATGGAGGGTCCTGGACAGAAGGAAGGCAGGGCCAGGATGAGAGAAGCAGCTGAGCAGTAACCAGGGGCTTGCCTTTGCAATCAGTGTCTGCCTCTAAAACCTGGCTCTTCCTCTAATCATTGTGTGACCTCAAGCAAATCCCTCTACCTCTCTGTGCCAGGATTGCCAGAATTATCCAGTATAATTACAGGACTCCAAGTTACATTTGAATTTTAGATAAGCAATGAAAAATGTTTTCATGTATGTGCATCCAATATCGGGGATATACTGATATGGCTAAAGTAAGCTCTCAGAATTTGTTGATGCTATTGTTGTTGTTATTGTTATTTTCCTTCCTTTCTTTCTCCTTGACCATGCCTCGGCTATCTGGGGGCTGAGGCCTGAGAGAACCCCTGATCCGTAAGCAATAGAACAAGTCTAAGGACAGAGAAGGCTGTCCATCTCCAAGTTAGGAACATTGTACTCCACTTGTGTCTCCTGCTCCCCTGGGCCTGATGTGATGCATAAGAGCCATTCAGGGACTAGTCCACATAGGGGCAGGGGACAGTGTATTCCAAGGGTCTTGCCTCCATCTGGGCCCCATGTGCTCCTCTGGTCCTCAGTACCTTCAATTACCAACATGCCAGAGCAGCAGAGCCAGAGAGCATGACCTTAGTCCAGGGCTCGGATGGGGGGAAGGGACAATGTTATATTGATGGACATGGATTTCAAAGGCAGGAGGAGCTCAGCCAAGAGTGACAGAAGTTAAAAGGCCATTAAATTAATGTTTCAGGGCTGGGGTGCAGCTCCGTGGTGGAGTGCTTGCCTCGCCTGCACAAGGCCCTGGGCTCAAATGTTCATTACTAGAAAAACAAAAAAATCAGAGTTTCAGGGTGAAATGCATAGTGCTCCACTTCTTGC